CCCCGAGCCAGATATTATGTAGACATTGAGAGGGGCTATCTTCATAAAATCCTCCCCTCACAGCCCAGGTAACTCTCTGGACAAAGACAGCATTCAAGACCCAAAGGCGTGGAAGATACCAGAACAAATCCCTCTAAAATAAATCAGCATGATCGACATAAATATGAACACACAAAGACACAAAACTATGTACATTTTTGCACCTGTTCATTTTCATGTGTCTATGTCTATATCTATATCTATCTATCTATCTATCTATCTATCTGTCTATCTATCTAGTGTTGCTCTGGAATACAGAGTGTTGGAATGGGTGAGCTACTGTTTCTTGTGCCTTCTGCTGGATTCTTTTCCTTCTGTTTGTTTGTTTACAATTCAATATGTGAGTTTTGTTTTGTTTTATATTATTATATTTTGTTTCATCATATCATATTTACTCTTATCCCTTAGAGCCTGCTTATTTTCTAATGAGAGACATAAAGAAAGTGGATCTAGATTCTATTTGATTTTGGAGGAACCAGGAGGAGTAGAGGGAGGAGAAACTATAATTAGAATATACTATGTGAAAAAAACATATTTGTCTGGAAAACTATCGTTTCTTTGTGAAGAGAAAAACTATGTTGCATTCAACAAGTCAATTGTAGAATCTTTTGCACTGCAAAAGGTCACAGCTTAGAAAGTTTATGTGCTAACAGTCCAATTTGCGTTTTATGATTGAGAAGGAACATGTTTTATTGGTGGTATTTTTTATTGTTTGTTTTTTTTTTTTAAACCCTGACTCCAGGGCTAAGACACTGGTTTTAAGATTGGTTCCAAATAAGCCAGATCCAGTATAACATTCTTCTCTTTGTCATGAAGATTCCATTGGAAATCTCACTGTGGATTTCCCTTCTATAAAAATGTCTGGAAATCTGCCATCTTGGTTCTGCTAAAGGTATGTCAGAGTATAGATTATGGACTCTGGGAACAGCTTCATCCAAATCCTCAATAGGGAGTAAAATGAAGACTTATCACCTATTACCTGAAATCCTTCCCAACTTTTCCTCTCTCTAGAATCTGTATTTAAGGAAACCTTTCTATATGCCTACCAACAGAAATTCCAAGAACCAGCATCTTAACAGTAGTTCTTGATAGCTTTTTTAAAAAAAATCAGATAATGAATCTGATACACTCAGATTTGGAATATGTTTAAAATTCTAGCTCTATGTTTCAATGTTTGACCCAAAATATACTATTTAACCTCTTTGTGCTCCAATTGTCTTGTGCATGAAAAGGTGATACTATTTGTGTTTGCAAGGTTATAGCTATAGTTTAGGTGAAAATATACCTATGGAACCTGGAGTCACTTATTTATCTCTATCTGTGTAGAAACAGCACTTGTCTAAGTAGTGATCTCTACTTTCATATAGCAGTTTACAATCTCAAGTTATGAGTGTGCTGTATTCATAGTCTTAAAAATAAAAGCATTTCCACAGTTTGTCTGTGTGCCATCTCATTTGAAAAGAAAAGGGAGGGGTATAGAACATAATGGTCTTTTTACAAAATGCTAGGAAAGATTTGAGCCTATCCTGTCACTTAGACAACTAATTACACCATTACATGCTGCAATTACAATTAAGGATTTCAGCTGATGGAAGGCATGTTCGCTGCACTCTCATTACCGGATATTCCCTTGCCAACACTCAAGAGTATCATGGTTTTGATGAAACGAAAACAACTCAAGGAGCTATATTTGCTCAGTAACAACAACAGAGCAGTCCAGGGAGCCCACTGCAGTTCCCTTTTGCCCCATTGCATTTCCCACAGTGCTATTTAAAGACATAGCTTTCCTTATTACCTCACAGAGCTGGTTGGTTGCCAAAGTCATTAGTGATTTCTGCTGACCCAGCATTGTCTATGTGAAATATTACAACCTGTTGGGCATGTAGAGAGCTATTTTGGCAGTAAGCCAGTTGGATTTGAGCTTACATTGACTCAGAAAAGATCACTCAATTCAAATCACTTATTGTCTGCAAAGCTTGGCAAGCTTTCTTTAAGTATATATTATTTACAACAACCACTTAACAATAACTGAGTTAGACAAATGGCCTCAGGCCAAAGTGCAAACCATCAAAATGTCTTTCTTTTTGACAGAGAGTTACCTGCAATCCCCTCTTAACTTCCTACTTCCTGGCCTCCTAACTGTCAGCAATACCAATTGCCATTCTGACACTCAGAACATTTCAACTCTTTATTTAATGTTGGCATATGATTTCTTCTAATGATTAGCAATGCTATGATTCCTAGTGATTTAACTTTTATGTGAATACATTTAATAATTAAAAGACTCTTCTTAGTAGAAGTTAAGAGGCTGCTGTGATAGGAAAATTGACCCAAACTGCCTTAAACAAAATAATTACTTATTGCCCCTACTAGATGAATGTTCAGAGGTGTCTGGCCTCACAGAATATAGAGATGGAATACAATGTCACTGGGCCTGTGTTGCTCCATTATGGTTTCTTGGTTCTGCTGCATTGCTTTCAGACATGTTTCCAGCCTAAATTTATGAAATGACACCAGTGCCTTAGAACCTCACCCTGGCTCTGTTTCAAATACTGCAGATGTAAGTAGCTGTCACATTATGAAAATGAGCAGAAAAGAAAATCAGCTCTCAACTTCTGACTACATTCAGATTATATTCTTACTGTCAAGCCCATGGGGTTATAGCAAATGGATCAGGATATCCAAGTCATATTCAACAAGACTGCAAAGTTTCCTTTGGTTCACGACTTACTGAAGCTTTGCTTATAATTCTGCCTATAGAAGAAAGTGTTTCCAAAAGTCTCAAGGAACAATCCATATTCAGATTCCAAGGGTAGGAGAAATAATGTTCAGAATGTTTTTGTTCTTTCAGTCAAGTAAGTTCTCTTAGATACTGCTTTATTTCTGTAAAGAGATACAAGGACCACTGCAACTTATATAAGAAAGAATTTGATTGGAAGCTTACTTAGATTCTCACAGAGAGCAGACAGAGACAGTGCCTGACCTGGGTTTTTACAACCACAAAGCTAACATCTAGAGACATTCCTCATTCCACAAGAAAACACCTCCTTCAACAAGGCCATTACTACAAATACTTATAATCCTGTTCCAACCAGGAACTATGTACTCTTAATATATGAGCCTAATGAGTAATGCATGGTAAATAAGAATCTGGGAAACAATAGGCTAAGGGATGTTTATTCGGGGAGAAATCACTTACACCAGAAACAGATGACCACTGCAGTTTTCCACTTCATGGATGCTTCCAGATGCTCTCTGTCACTAACCAGGAAGTAAGAGAGTGAACAGGGGTCCTAGACCCCAGATCATGCCTGTACCTGTCACCACGCCCCTATGGGCGTGTTCAGTGCAACAGGTGTGGGCTGGATAGATATTTAACTACAAATGGAGCCCCACAAGAGTTTCATTTCTTTTCTTTTTTTTTTTTTTTGCATATAGAGTATTTTTTATTTAATTTTATATAACAAAGTCCAATTAAATGAAAACAAACATTTATACACAATATTTGGGAATTTGGGCGTCGTTCTTTCCAAACTACTTCCTGCTGGTAAGGGGCGCTGTCTTGGGGGATTCGAAGAAGATTCAGATATCCTAGCTGTAGTCTGTAGGGCTGTTTTGTCCAGCTGTTTGGAATGTAGGATCAGCATGTACTCTGTTTCAGGCGGTCTGGTGTGATCAAACCACATTAGTCTGGAAGGAATCCACATCTTTTCATTTTCTGTGGAAACAAAAATAGAAATACTTTTCCCCAGTAACTTGTTCTTCAACTTAAATTTTGGAGTCAAAGCGTTTTTTTTTTTTTTTTTTTTTTTTTTTTTTTATTTTACATGTCGATCCCAGTTCCCTCTCCCTCCCTCCCTCCCCCTCCCCCCAAGCCCTCCCTCCCTCCTTCCCTCCCTTTTGCCCTCTCTACCCTCTCCCATGCACTCTAAACACCCTCCCCTCCCAACCCCCCACCACAATACAATATGTAGGGGAATGCCATCCAGTTGGGGTCATGTAGATCTGACAGGTCCGCCAGGATGTATCCCTGGTGCACAAAAGGACTTTGCAAACATATCCCCCATGGAGGGATAACTGCCTTATTCTAGAGATAGGAGAGAAGCCCTAGTCCCTACTTCAAAGAGTTTCATTTCTTAAAGCCTCCTCTTCATTATTGTATCCTCACCTCCTAAACATCAGAAGTTATTTCTCTTTTGATTTCAACATGTCCAATTCCAAAGAAATGGTGTTTTTTCCCTTTTTCCCCCTCAACTAAAAAACAAAAAACAAAAACAAAAACAAAAAAAAAAAAAAGAGGAAGAGTTGTTTTAACAGATTTGTCAAAGTACTAATGAAAACTTACTTAAGTTTCACTGACAGAAGGAAAGCATGTCTTAGAGCATTACACAAACACCTGGAAATTCACCACAAAACATCCATCACCCTGAGAATTCAGGAAGGTTTTGAGAAGTATATGTAACTGTCAAAGGACCCATAGTAATTCTCATATGCATTCTTTTAGTAAACATTGATTGTTATAAAAAGGGGGAATCTCCTGTCCAGAAAAGAAAACAGATTTGACAAGTATCCAATGTCATAATCCAAGGAAGATAGACAAACTAGACCTTCATATAGTGAGATGGACAGGGCCAGATCAAGATTAGAAGTCTTATAGTAAGAATTGACAAAAACAAGACAGAAAAATGAATGAATTACAGTACCAAAATTTTATTATTTCAGGAGATGTTTGGGAATCATTTGTCCTCCTTTAATTCAAGAAGTAGTTGATGACTACAAACCACACCGAAGTCATTGATTGGCCTCAAACACTTGACTAATGAGTGTGACAGCAACCCATAGCACCTTTCATTAAGCACATAATCTATAGCATTGAGGCACAGATTTTAAAAATGTAGATGTGTCTTGCCAAATCTAAACTGGGTTGATGTTTAGTATTAACTGTAAAAATATTAACATGGGTGCTCGCTTTGGCAACACATATACGAAAATTGGAACGATACAGATAATATTAGCATGGCCCCTGTGCAAGGATGACGCACAAGTTCGTGAAGCATTCCATATTTTTTTCATATAAGGTCCCTCACTTAAGGGTGAAAGGACAAGTCCCCCAGAGTACATGGGAAGTGGAGGGGGTGGCAGTTATTGGAGAGGGAACTAGGAGAAAGAGACGGAAAGGAGAGAAAACCACGTGTGACTAGGAAGATTGAGTCATGGTAGGAAGACAGAAAAGAGAGAGAGAGAAAGAGAACATAAAATAGGGAGTTATTATTGATTTGAAGAGAAAACTGAACCTAAAGAAAAGTCTAGAGACCTACAAGACTGACTCCAACTAACAATTTGAGCAACAGTGAAAAGACTACCATAAATGTCCTTCCCTGATAAGGGATCAACAAATTACTTAACCACCATCATGGAACCCTCATCTAGTACCTGTTGGAAACAGAAGCAAATACCCATAACTAAACACTGAGTAGAACTAGAATCCAGATGCAGAGAGAGAGGACAAGACCAGGTTGCAGAAACACATACAGACAGCTGACCTGAACAAGGAGGAGCTAACGGGCCCCCAGAATGACAGCTGGAAATCCAGCATGGGACTGACTAGAACCCCTGAACATGGGTCTCAGCTAGAAGGCCTGAGCAGTCTAAGGGATCTCAGAGAGTGAAACTAGGATGTATTCCTGGTGTACAAAAGGACCTTTTGCACATCCCCCATGGAGGGATACTCTCCTAACCTAGAGACAGAGTGAAGTCCTAGTCCCTACTTCAAATGACTTGTCAGATTTACATGACCCCACCTGGATGGCATAGCCCTACATGCGGAGTGGGGTGGGGGAGGGGGGTCAGAGTGCATGTGAGGGGGAAGAGAATGAGAAGGAGGGAGGGAGGAGGGGAGGGAGAGGGAACTGGGATCAATATGTAAAATAAAAATAAATAAATTTAAAAGAATATTAACACGGGTGCTGCAAGAGATTTACAGTTTGCTATGGTTTGAATAATCCTCACACCTGGGTATTACTAACTTAATCCTCAATGCAACCACATAGAGCCTTCCCTCTCATTCACGGATACATGCTCCTGGGAAAAAAAGCTTTGATCAAAGGGACTGGGAGTTTCTCTTCCATGAAGAGTTAACTTTTATTAGAGATACAAAAAAAAAATCTATGAACTTGTTGATCTTGGACTTACCATCCTACAAAATGTAAGAAAAGAATTTCTGTTGCTCACTAGTCACTGGCGCTGTGGTATTGTTACAATAACACATGATAACACATGTACTGAGGCAAAGTTAAATGACATTGCTGTCTCCTTGAGATATTCTATACCTCTATTCTCCCATCTTTGTATTAGCTGATTATAGTCATTTAATTGTACCATAACCAAATGCAATATATCCTGTGGAAGTAGAAGTCTATCTGTCCATCATTTTCTCTCATGGGAGTTCTGCTTTTTCTTTTATCCATAACCTTAATAGAGGGTACTAAAATCATGTAATTTAGCCTCACCCCAATGCTATGTATGACATTCTGACCTGGCTTGCTTGTTTCTTGATTACTTGCTAAGGAGGAGAGACAGCTGCCTGGGTCCTTGTAGCATATTTCCCACCCTGAACTCTGACCACAGCCACTTCCTACTGTATGCTGAGCATGTCTAGGTTAGATGTTTTCAGGTGTTTACTCAAAGGCACTGTGTGATCCCTAAAAGGTTTCTGAACCAGGTTACAGATCTCTCAGTGTGTCCCAATGAGCTGCAAAATATTTTGTCAAAATAGACCTCTTGATTTATAGGATCTGGTTGAAGCTAAGCTGGGGAGTGCTCCCTTGGGAAGCAGTGGAGCTATCCTATCCCACTAACTGGGAACTCAGAGTTACTTGGGAGAACTTGTTTAAGGAAATCTTGCTTCTTATCCTAAGTCCTGTATCAGATTTCTTCTTGCATTTTGTTGGCTGTATTGATAATGTGTGGAGTCTGGATCTACAACCATATCCTTAAACGTATCCACCTATACAATCAGTTGAGAAGGCATAAAGAATTAACTACACTGGTTTCTCTGAACTAATGACCTATATAACTCTAGTGGCTAGAGTCAACCAAAATAGTTAACCATGGGCATCAATATGTTAAAGCTACAAATAAACAAGACACATGTAAAAGCATCCTACAGCATTGTTAAAAACTGTACTAGCAAAATGAAGTACCTGGAAGAGTTTCCTATAGATGCTTAGCAGAGATCATGAGGATGCCTAAGATTTGAATGATTAAGTGGTGAAATAGTGTTTCATGTAGATACACAAGGATAAGAAACATGTTTTATTACTAGGAAAAAACAGAAAGCAGAGACTAGAAAGTATATCATGGCTAAAATTAAGAAAGCTGCTTAGCGTTTAAATCACTGTGATCACATGATCAAGGTAACTCTTATAAATGAAAACATATAATTGAGGTGACACCTTAGAGTTTCAGAGTTTTACACCATTATCATGATGGTGGGATTATGGTTGCATGCAGGCAGAACATGGTGCTAGAGAAGGAATAGCTACATGTGATATACAGGAAATCGAAAGTATACTATCTCATTGGGCACAGGTTGAGCATATATGAAACCAAAGAAACCTACCTCCACAGTGACATACTTTCTCCAACAAGTCCAACCCTCCTAACTATGTCCTTCCCTTTGGGGGCCATTTTCTTTCAAACTGCCACTAAAGCAGTAGAACTTTCTCTAAGACTAAGTTGGAGAAAAGCCTTGAAGTTAACGGTGATGTATTTTATAACACTTTCTGACAATGGAAATTCATAAATGTCACCCTTTCTGTAGTGAGTTGAGCCTAGAATGAGTAATAAGAGGATGGTGAAGAACTTTTCCTTTTGAAGATAAACTTTGACATGGCTTTGGGGAGCAAAAATACAGAGAAATAGGTTGATATGAAACCAGCTTAGAAGGAGAATCTCTGTACTCATTAGAACAGTTAAATATTCATTGAGGAAATGCTTCTGGGATACACTTGTAATTAATGACACTTGAAAATTGATGGACATAGGGTTTGATGAAGTCAAACCTGACTCTGAAAACAGAGTCATGTTTTCTAAGAATATGGGATGAAATAATTGAGTATGAACAAAGGAGTGGCAACAGCCTGCTAGGAGGCAGAGCAACAGACTTTGTTCCTTTCATATACCAATGTTTTCAAAATCTATGGGTTGTTCTTCCTCAAAGATAGAATCATGACACAAAGAATTCATTACAACCCTGGAAACAGAATCCATAAATAATCTTTCAGAACTGTGTCCATGCATAGTGCCCAATGTTGCAGTTAAATTTGGAATATGATTGGAAAGAAGGGGCTAACCTGAGATATCATCAACCAAAAGCTTCAAAGAGCACATTTTTTTCTTTGTTTATAATACCCTTACAGTGGCAAGTTGTTCAAAGCAAAATTAATATGTAACAGGCTCTCAGAAAACTTTAAATTTCCCCCTATTTTCAATAGGTGATCTTATAATAAAATCCTTCTATACTGATTCCAATTTGTATGGCTGCGGGTATCCTCAGCCATAGTTGTTGGTTTGTCTATTCTATCAAAATACACAGAAGTAAAATATGTTTTTTTTTTTCAACTACCAAATTTTATTCATTCTGTAAACTGTTAAACATCAAATGGCTTCTAATCCATCCATTCACCATTCTCATTTCCTCATTTCAAATTAAATCTCTTGTCTTCATCCTACAGCTTTACACAAGTCTTACCTCTCAAACAGGTTATCCCACAGTGTAGCTACCAGTTGAAATAGCACAAGTACTCCACATAAAAGCAACTTATAATCCCTGCTCTGTGGGAACTGGTACTTAGGTTTCCCATTAACACAGTGTGAAGTTATGTGCTTAACTCTGCTCTCATTCAAATGAAAGTACATATGCAGAATGCACAGAAGTCTACTTGAATCAGATATCAGGATTTTCGAGCTCCTAGAATTGGCTGCTCTTGGCTTATACCTTTTGATGAGAAACTACTGCTGTGAGAAACATCATTTTAGTGCACTTTCATATTTCTGTAGTTGTGTTATGGAACAGTAGTGTTATCTGGTAAGAGTATAACCAGGCTTTTCCTTTATCTTCTCAAACATGCAATTCTGACAGCGATCACTTACACTGTAGCAACAAAATAGACCATATCTTGTGATATAGTGGATGATCAGCATATATATATATGTGTGTGTGTGTATGGCTCTATAGATATTTATAACTTTAAAGTTAATTTCAATAATATACATGCACTACATTTCAGTCTACATTTAATCTTTTACAAGACACCTGTAAGTAAAAGTATTTACTGATGAAATGTAAATTTCAAAATGTAATGTTAGGTATTTTCCAGTATTTTGCAATCCATCTCCATTATAGCACAATATGCAAGGGTTTCTGATTTATTCATATTTAAGTAGTTTAAATACTTGTGAATTATAAAAGTAGAAACATTTCCATTGCTGTGATCCAGACCTCTTTTTTTTTTTTTTTTTTTTTTTTTTTTTTTTTTGGCCATAGCATTTAGGTTGCTTTCTTAAGAACGTATAGGTTGATTCATAATACATGTTATTTTTTAAAACCAAATGAAAAAGAAATTAAAAACTAAGATCTCATTTCATTGAAGGTCATAAAGTTGATATTCACATAACAAGTTGTCTAGCAAGTATTTACTTGCAAGTATTTATTTAACTTGAAGTTAAGCAAACAGAATTGTAAGTTGGATTTGTGCATGCAGTTGCTTGGGAAGGATTTTTCTGCATTTATTCATTTTTGTTTTTCATGGTGAAATGATGTGCATTAAAGAAGACAATGGACCTTATACTGACATATTAAAGAAACCAATTTTTTGAAGTTGAAATTTGTGATTTTACTTTCAAATGTTTATGAGTTGTATAGGAACTGTGCTAAGACTGAAGTCTTTAAATATCTACCATTACCTACATGCATTTAAGGAAGCATTTGGTAACATTTTTGAGTATGTTTAGAAGGTTAGAAAAAATAGAATAAGCTGAGGCTGAAATATGACTTTCAGAAGGGGT